GGCCAGCGGCTGGAGAGGTCGCCTGCTTTCCGCCCCTCTCCAAGTTGCTTTGCCAAACTTTTTCTGACGCGCCTTCCATCACAATGCAGGCAAGGGATTTCTCTTCTTCTCCCCCCACCCACGCGCGCCTCAATGCCAAAGGAAGCAAGAGTAAAGAGTGCGTCTGAGGACGTGCAGAGCGCGCCTCTGTGAAGAGGGCTCGGGTCCTTTGACAAACCTGGGGGAAGACCTAATGTACCGGGACGGTCCCGAAGGTTTCGGGAGGGACGCAGGAGATCATTTTGCTCCTCTTCCAGTTGCGCCGAATGTGCGCCAGATCCTTCGGACGCCAAAGCGTTCCCCGATCCGACGTGAGCGAGTCAGCCGATGGCGCTAAAAAGATCCACTTGAAACCGCGGAAAGTTGGAATACTTTGGTCGCGGAACTGAGAGAAAGGAAAAACGCAGGCGGTTCGCAGTGGGAAGGAGGAGAGTCCTTCGAGGAGAAAAGAAGTGGAGAATGGAGAAGAATTAACAGCCAGACGGGATGCCCCACAGCAGCTTTCTAGAGGAAGTCAAAGCTTACCCGACTCTCCTGCTGGATTCGGGTCATGCCCAAAGTTCAGCAGGAGAGGGACAATAAGGAGCGCAAATCCTGAAAGATCTCCTTTAATAACTTCCGGAATTGAGAGGATGGCCAGTGAAGCAAGAGGAGGGGGGAATGCTGTCACTTTGTGCTATGACCGCGCCTATGGCAGCGCTACTGATGAGCGATCTCCAAAATGCCCTGTCTTTAGCAGTCCTGTTCAGCTATTGCAAACTCAAGCCTGGGGCTTCTTTGACTGAGTCCGTCCATCTGGTATTTGGTCTTCCTCTTTTCCTGCTGCCTTCCGCCTCTCCGGGCACAATGGTCTTTTCCAGAGAATCTTTTTGCCTTCTCAGGAGGTGCCCAAAGTAGGACAGCCTCTGTTAGGTCCTTTTTGCCTCCAGAGAGAGTTCAGGCTTGATTTGATCTAGGACCTGCCTGCTTGTCTTTCTGGTGGTCAAGAGTATCTCCCTTCCAGCACTACATATGAATAAAAAAAAATCCTGACAGTTTTCTTTGCTGTTCAGCTTTCACACCCATACACAATAATCAGGAAGACAAGAGCATGGATGGTCTTGGTCTTGAACATCCAGTGATAGATCCTGACACTAGTACTTTTCAAAGAGGTAGCCCTGTTTGTCTGTGCAGTTATATCAGACAAAAATAAAAATAAACCAAAATAAAAGAGGGGGCAAATTGTGGCACCTTAAAGATGAAGCACTCGATTTTCCTAGTCTGTGCAGTTATATCAGACAAAAATAAAGCAAATAAACCAAAATAAAAGAGGGGACAAATTGTGGCACCTTAAAGATGAGTCACTCTATTTTCATCTGAGCTTTCGTGGCTCAAGCCCACTTCCTCAGACATAAGAGGGAGATTACACGGCTGTCATATTTGTACATGGTCCCATGAAGAAGTGAAGATCCAGATTATGGGCAAAGTGAAAGTGAAATAAAGGAGCTGGATGATAAAACTGTGAATAATCTCAAAGGTAAGTCTGCAATGTAACAAGAGCAGAGTTGAAGCAGAGTGGGAATCCATGTAGCATTTCACACTTGGTCATGGCTTAAGAACCTTTGGCTGATATTCAGTCCTTTGAAGTGGGTCTCCAGCATCTGCATGCATCTTTTTTCAGCTGTGTCTGTTTCAAGTCTAGTTCTGTAGTGTTTTTCCTCCCCTAAAATGAGCACTTTTAGGTCATCCAAAGAGTGTCCAGGTAGACCGAAATGTCTTGAATCAGGTTCTTGTGTGTTGCCATTCCTGATCTCCAGTTTACATCCATTAATTCTTTGGTGCAGAGATTGCCCCGTCTGTCTTACGTAGAGGGCAGAGGGACACAATCGGCAAAGGGTGCCACAGAGACCACATTAGCAGAGGAAGAAATAAATGTGCCCCAGTGTTGCGTGTGACATTGTCACACCCGTAATTGTGTTGCCAGAGTAGATGAGGGGGTGTCATCTTAGGACGTGATCACACTGACTGTAAAGATTACGATTATATCGACTCTGCCGCGATTTAAATCATTTTATGAGTATACATTTCTGTTCACATGAAGCAATTCATTTGGCCAACCAATTGATTTTTTCCCCCAACCTTATCACCATGGTTTTTTTAAAAGGACCCAGTCCCTGAACTGCTTCTATCCACATTGGTTTGGCATGTGTGTGAATGTTGCTGTTGAATTACTTTGCACCCACTTGTGTTTTCGGCACCACGGGCACTGGAGGGCTACTGCTCTTGATCCCTTTATTTCCAAATGCTAAGCCGTGCAAGTGGTTTTGGTCTCTGGTTGCAGAGCCCGAGGTCGGGAATCTGATTCCCTCACTGGGCCTCCTTGACAGGGAATGGACTCAAGTGATCCACAGGGTCCTTTCCAGATCTGCACTTCTAAGATCAAGGACCCCATATTCTCTCCCCACTACATCACTTCTTTCTAACTTTCATCTCTTCCCTTGTCAATGTGGAGAAACATCCCCACCTAGTGTCCTTTGACGAAGCGCCCGAAAACCGAAGACCGGCCAAGGGAAACCTTGTGTTATAGGAAGCATCTTCCCAAAATGCCTTCTAAAGTTTTTTTTTTTCCCACAAGAATTTAGATGCTGCTTTAGCGATATATCATTTTTAAAGAGGAAAAAACAGAGAGCAATTTTAGAGTAGCATGCTCCGGAAACCAAAGAGGAAATGAGTCGTTTAGATGCTGCTTTAGCAATATATCATTTTTTAAGAGGAAAAAAGAGAGAGCAATTTTAGAGTAGTGTGCTCCGGAAACCAAAGAGGAAATGCGTCAATTTCCTTGGGATGACAGGTGTAGCCTACAAAACCCGTTTAAAGTTCAAGAAATGTATTGAAAGGAAAGACGGCCCCATGAACTGGTAAGATCATGGGACTACACATCAATATATAGATAGAGGAATCTCATAATTCTCCATCCTGGGAGATCTACCTGACAGGCAAATACCTTCCAGAAACGTAATCTGGCTCACCTGGGAGAAAAGCCTAACTAGGCGGCTTTGAAGTCCAAGCTACCTGTGTCCTGGAGGTGAATGTTAGCTCTGTTCACTTATAAAGCAACTAATAATGAATAAAACAACATAGGCTGGAAGTCTGCCTTGGCTAAATTTGAGGCTACCACCTCTTGGGAAAACGTAAGTTTTCAAATGCAAGGTTTTGTGTTATTCAGTCCTTAACTAGTCCCTCTCCTTCTTACCTGTCCTTCTTACCTGTTCAGTCTTAACCAAAGGGATCTACATACGTATCATTGGGTTGGTTCACTTATTAACTTCCTGCCATTTGCTGCCTTCTTCCTGAACATCCCACATTGTTTTGGTGACACTTTCTCCAACATCTTTGTGCCATTTTATAATTTATTGGTCTGCTGTCTCCCTTTCTCTCTGAAAGTATTTTCAGATTATTTAAGAAATACTTTTACTCAAGAAATACTCAAAGGAACGCCTGCTAGGGAAACAAAATGTCAGCCACTAAGAACACATACATACAAAAAACACCACCAGCTGATTGAATGTCGACAGAATACATTTCCCCTTCTTTATTTAGTCTCTCCACGGTTTTCTGAAAGCACCTGGAAGATGAATAAATATATTTTGGCATAGGCTTCCACCAATTAAGTCCTGCTACCTCTGTTGCATGGCACATACCTTTTAACTGAGCCAATATTTGTATCTATGACCTCAGCAAAAGAACAAGGAAATAATGGCAAATCTTGGTCCCGTTCTTTTCATAGGCTGCAATTGTGTTATTTTTCTGTTACTTATTGATCCAGAGACAATGTTCTCTTTTCAAATTACAAATGAGGCCATGGTCTCTAGGTGCTCCCCCAAAAAAGGTATTCACATATATGTAGTGCCAGATAAACCCAAAGAAGAAATGACTCCAAAACCTAAATAAATAATCATATCTCATTAATATAGTTAGAAGGAACAGTCAATGAGTTGAGAGTCTAGCAACAGTTTAACTGGCTTGGTAACCCCAAGCCAAGATGTGCTACTTAATCCTTGGAAATGGAGTTGTCAAACATGTGTGTCTCTTAGTCTTTCCCCCACTATGTCTCCCCAAAAAATAACATGTTTTACAGGGTCTCCCTTCTCTGATACAATCAGAAGCAGCCCCGAAGGAGGTTGCAGCCAAGAAATCGGAAGACCGAGATTCAAAAGGGCAGCCCTGAAGGAACTAGAAAAGATCGTGAGGTGTCAGGATGTGTCCCTGGAGACCGAGATCATCCACACTCATGTATTTCCAATCACCGTGTATGGGTGTGAAAGCTGGAGAGTGAAGAAAGCTGGCAACGGCGTAAGAAGATGTATTCGATTCAAATGTGGCGCTGGAGGAGAGCTTGGACTGGCAGAAGGATGGACAAGCGTGTCCTGGAACTGATCAAACCTGGACCATCTCTGGAAGCGGAAATGACGAGACCAAGGCTGCCCTACATTGTAGTCCAGGACCGTTGGAGGGCACAGGATTTGAATACAGCACATGGCCAGTCTCCTGTTGCATACATAGATCATTCTAATGTAGCCGCTTTATTTCCAGGCTGTCTCCTGCTTTCAATAGTTGATCAGTGGTATTGCTGGACTGGATGATGTGTGTGAAAAGTCACTCGGCGTGCACTTTGGAATCACAGCTCTTAGCTTGGGGAGATTCGCCGTGACCATAAAAAAGGATCACACGCACCACACGTTAGCCTCGAAAGAGGGGTTACAAGAGGACAGGCTTCCTCGGATGGTCGCCCTCCGGTTGTTCCCCGTTGCCATTCCCATCTCTTGTGGCCGTTGCAGGCTGAGCTTGGAGATGTTCCTTTTCTTGGACTACAACACCTAGAAGCCCCAGCCAGCATGATAATAGGAGTTGTAGTCCAGTACCTTGGGAGGCCACTGGGTTGCTGCCAGCTCTTCTAAGAGAAGAGAGCATAAGGGTGGCTGTTTGGAATAGGGACACAGAGAGGCAGAGAACTGCAAGAAAACTCCATTTAGGACATTTAAGAAAGGATAAAAAATGGACAAATACAACAAAGATATTTTTTTTACAGTTTATTTTATTTTTGACCTATAGGATTGCCCTAATGGGTGGTCCCTGCCGGATGCCCAGAGGAAGGCGAAAAACCTCCAGGACCTGCAGCCAATTTGCCCTGGAGGAAAATTCCTTCCCGACCCCAAATGTGGCGATCAGTGTTACCCTGGGCATATCAACAAAGACCATAAACAACCATCCGGCTGCTGGCACAACATCCACAGCCTCCCTCATCTCTGTGTTACCTGAAAGATTAATAAACATCTTCTGAAATGCCATCTCATCCCATCATTCAAACCTAAAATATATATATATGTAAGAAAGAAGATCAAAGATTGAATCTAGAACTTGAGAAAATTACTACATTTTCCCGGAATCCTGCATCCACCTTACAAGGAGGAGCTGGAGATTTGAGTTCCAAAATGGCATGATTGTGACTGGATGACTCACCTTCATGATTTTCATGGGGATAAAAACAGTAGAAATAAAATGAATGAATTACC